CCCCAAAACCCCAAAACCCCAAAACCCCAATTGCGAATGTTAATGTAATGAGTGATGAAATAAAGAATAATAATTAAATCATTTAATTTGCCTTCATTGGAATTGTGACGTGTTTGTAGAATTTTTATATATGAAATTTCTTATTTCTTCAATCTTGAAGCATACCTCAATCGGAAGGACACTAAATTTTGTACGATAAAAACAACTATAATAAATCTTACCTTAGCATTGACTTAGCCCTCCATAGTTCATCCATCATCTTAGAAAGGAATAACTTCCAAATCAAAAAGTAGATCAGCATGAGATAAAATAAGTACAAGATGAATATTGCTCGATCTAATATGAATTCCTTTAGGAAACTATTGTATTCATTAGGAATATAAAATCTTACAAGAGATCTATTTGCTCAATTAAGAGTTTCTCTAGGTGTAGATGAATTTACTTCATATACAAGTCGCATGCTATTTCAGTTGCGTTAAGTTTTGGATCATTGATATAATCTTTGACTGTATCTGTGGGCTTCTTAAGGATCAAGAATTTGCTGTTAAGATCTCTTAAGTTATTGAGATATCTAGTGATTGTACTGTAAAGTCCTTTCTTCAAGATGCCTTGGTTAAATGTTTCACATTCCAATTAAGTAATATTTGTGAAAGTAATATGCTCACACATATTTGAGTACATAAGATTATTAAAATCATTGTTATACTTTGAGTCGTGTAGCCCGTAATTTGATTGGAACAATTCTAGCAATTCTTGTTATTCCTTAATAAGCTATTCGTTAAGTTAGGCCACTAGATCTTTGACATTTATGTTTAGGACCTATGCTGTACCGTTGGAGTAAAATAGCTCCTTTTGAACTAGCAAGATTTGTGTAAAAAGTGGCTATCTGGAGATAAGAAGTTTCAATTCATCAGTGAGACTTGAAACCTCATACATGAACTTCTTAGAGATTAGGTAGTTCATGATGAAAAACGCCTCTAAAACTGCAACAATAAAGATGACTCTTAGAGCTAGCAGTCCAAAATTAGTATTCAACCTTTTCCACTTTTTATTTTTCTTCTGCTTTTTAAGGTTGTACAACTCTTCTTTCTCCTTTTTCAATTCCTTTTCATTCATTCCCCCGATATTATCATCAATATTGTCATTAGCATCTGCGGCGTCTCCTCCCATTTAGCCAAAATTTTCATTTTAAACCTAGTACTTAGTAATAAACCATCTGCATAGCTTTAATTAATCATCAATAGATTTCTCTACTTTTTTCAATAAAAATAGTCTAAGTACCTCTTATTTAGATTTTTTAGCTTTATTAATGACTGGCAATAAAAATCCCATTGCAAAAAATAGAGCACATGATACAGCAATTAGTAATGTCATGAATAAACTAATACTTTTCTCTGTTTAGGAATCTGTTGCACTAATAATAGCAGTAGTTGATTCTTTTAATGCAATTAAGACAGAGTTTAAGCAGTTATTTTGAATAAATGATACCTCTGGATTACTAGATATAATCTTAGTTGGAGCTGCATTTAATTCCTGAGCAAATACAACGATGGCAATAACACTTTCCCAAATATTCTGAACAATCACGCTAGACATATTTTGCACATTTTCATAATTAAGAACTACATTGTCAGGATTTATTTATTTTCTAGTGCTTGAATCAAAATCAGCAGTAGAAAACTGCAAATAGTTTTGATTGTCTTTTAAAGATGTAGAAGATACGAGCAAGAGCTGATTCTAACTATCACTTAAAGTTGTTTTGTTAGAGTAAAAGCCTAACTGAGTTGCATTAAAGATATCTTCGTTTAGGAATCTTAAGTTCTGGATTCTGAGGTTGATATCTATGATGTCAAAAACTCTTTTTTCTGAGTGTTTAATGTTCTATACATTGTCATGAATATCACTGAAGAGGTTTTGTTGAATTATGAACTAAGTGATTTCCAAAATCAAAAGGGCTAGACAGAGTATATTAGCAATGATTTTCAGGTTCTTAATTGACAAGGGAATGAACTTCTCATCAATAGCATTTCTGAGAGAATAATAAGATCTAGTCTAACTGAATATAGAAGAAGCGATACTACTGACCTCTCCATTATCTGGCTCTTCTTTTAGCATTCTTTAATGAGCATCTTCCTCACCCCCTGACTCTTCATCTTATTCACCCTCATTAGCCTATTCTGCAGCCTCATTATTTTCAGCAACTGAATCATCCTCCTCTTCATCATCTATTTTCACATCTTAATTATTTTATTTATCTTTTTCATCTTCTTCCTTTTGCTTTTATACAACTAGCTTTTTGGCTTACTTCTTCTGCTCCTCTTCTATAGCATGAAGTTACCTCTTCCTTTTCTTCTCTCTTCTTTACTTTCTGTTTTCTACTTTCTTAACTAAATCTCTAATGTCAAGTTCTTCATTCTAAAATTCCCAGTCTTTGAAGTAAGCTGACCCACAACTTTCCACATCCATGTCTTTAAACTTCGGATTAGTTACAATCTTCTCATAATTTCTAAGCTTTCTCTTTTTTGGTGGCTACTAAGGTAATCCTGCTGCATTGAAGTTGTTGAAATTATCGACTGCTTGTCCAAATCCATTCTACATTTACTATTACTGTTGCTATTATTCGTTCTGTCCATCTTGATTGAACTCATTATATTCTTCATCTCCATATTCTTCGCCCTCCTCGTCTATTTCTTCAATAATTTCTTCAATCTCTTCCTCAAAATCTTCCTCAATATCAACCATACTTTTGTTATTATCTCCCTCTGATTAATCAACTAAACTTTTAGGCATCTCGTTTTCATCATTATCCCTTTATGTTTTCTCCAGTAGTGGCTTTTAATCATCAAACTAAGGCTACTTCAATTATTATAAAGATTTTTTCTTTGATTTAAGGGAGGAATTTAAAGACTAAGAATTTTATGACATTGAGTTGCTTGAATTATTTCCTGGTTTTTCAACATTTTGAGTAGAAGCCTTTTTATTAAGAATCTACTCATTCAAATTTTAAGTTCTTTTCTTCGTCTTTTCACTGATAGAGATATCTTTCTTCACATCAATTCTTGGCGTATCTTTATCCTCTTAGTTTATCCTTTGGCCGATCCCAAGCATATTACCTTGCTTTTATTATTGGGGTCCAGGTACTCTTTCTTCTACTTGTTTCTGACCATTAAATATAATATTCTCCTCATTTTTTTCTTTTAAAAGTAGCTTCTCTTCCTCTCCATGCTATTGTCTGTCCTATATCCTTGCATTTCTCAGAACATTTTCAATTGTTTCCATATCATTCGTCTTATTGAATGTATGACCTGAAGTAATTATATCATTCTAGCCACTATTTTTGCGGTCAGATACATGCTCACTTATCGATTTATCCAAAAACGTAACAGACATTTCTAATTTTCTAAACTACGACTCTTGCTGCTGCTAAAGTTAAACTCTATCTTAAAATGAAGTTTATTACTTCATTGCTCTAGCTCGCTAATCATTTGCTTCCTCCTTGAATCCAACTTTTTTGGTTCCAATTATTTGTTAAGTTTCTCTCCTAATATCTATCTCTCTTAATTATTAGTTTCTTTCTGGATCCTTGAGCGTACTTGAGCTTTGAATTTTAGCTCTAGAATTAGTGTGACTTAATTCATCTGTTGTCATACCTCTTTTAAATTGAGAAGGGAAATTCTAAGTGTTGGTAGGTTGCCTGTTGAAGCCCATGCCATCCTCTCTGTTACCAAATACTTCCTAAATGATATGAGAAGCTGCTTTAAGCTAATTATGCTAGTCTAGATCATCCTATAAACTTATAATGTCATTTTCATCATCATTCATTTCATGAGTTTTCTTGTTTGATGTATTTTAAATCTTGAAAACAAGATACTTTAGAGCACCATGTTCAGATCTATTAATTCTACAAATTTCTAGATCGAGTTCCATTGATATTATCTTAAATTTTTCATTCTCTTTATACTCTTTGCTTTATAAAAGCTTTCTTAGATCTGGAATCTTTTTCGTATTAGATCGACCTTTCGAAAGAAATTTTAAGAAATCTCTAAATGCTGGTGATCTTATTAATTTTTGATTTCCCAGAAGATCAGATTCAGCCTATGTCCCATTTTTCTTTTTCCCTCCGCCTCTTTATTTTGTAGTTTTCTCACTCTTTGCTAATGTGGCAAAATTCTAAGGGATAATAATGGCTAGGACATCTCCTCCTGGCTAGGCCAATTTACAATTTGTAAAGGCAGTATCAGGTTCAATCTTTTAATCTTCTCTATTATAGTAACTAGGCTAGGATTGAATTACTTATTTTTTCTCTTCAACTTTGTATTATGAGGCTAACTTTGTGAGTTTTCTCCTTTACTCAAATATTTCAATAAGTTCTGGACATATTAGTTGGATGTTTATATCATTATTTTCCTTAAACAATTATGGACTCAAACCAAGTAGACTAGTAATTCCCTTAGAAAAGCTATCGATATTACCATTCATATCTGTCAAAATGTAGTCATATTCTGAGAAAACTGGTCTGATCATTCCAACATATTAGACACCCTCTTTCAAGCTTGGAAGTTATTTGACTAAAACTTTGGATCTAAAACAATGCCCCTATCTATTTACAGCAAATATTGGCCTCTCAACATTGAAAACTCTTTATCTGCCAGTTTTATAAAATTTATCTAAGAAGTCATTATGTCGGATTCCAACTAAACCAGGCATCATAAAACTGATATTGTGGCCTATTACCTCAGTCTTATTGTATCCAAAGCACTTCATTAGCCCTTGAGAAACCTTTAGTATTCTACCACTAGATTCTTTGTTTCCAGAAATATGAACCACTGTAGAATCCTCAGAAAATAAGACATCTGATCTTTTAATGTTTTCATCCATTGAATTATGAGCAACATTTGTCATTTATGCTCTTTCTATGAAAGGTTTTCCAATTTAGGGATGATTTTTTATGAAGGATAAATATTCTCCATAGAGTTGCAAAGCTGGAGGATAACTCGAATTAATCATGCACAACTATTTCCAATAGTTATCTGCCATAGTAGAAGAGTTATAGATTTTATTGCCAAGCTCGTTTAAAATATTCAAATCAGGTACTACTGTGGTAAGATGAGTCCAAAATTCAACTTAATAATTACATACAGCTTCAATTGATTTTTACATGTCCTAATGAAGCTTTTCGAACTCTTTAACATTGGTCAGCTGTTGATAGATATACTTATTCTTGATTTCTTCAACTTTGACATATTACTCAATCATCATTTTATATCGAAAAATGGTGAACTATTGCTAAATTGAGGGTTTTTTCTTAGAAGCAATATTTAATTCATGCAGAGCAGCATGAATGTTCTTCATAACTTGGAATAAATAGAATGAAAAGGAAATATGAAGACTTGGAGAGTTAATAAATTTGTTTAGAGCATCTTCAAACATCTTTTTGTTGTAATGATTAACAAAAATTGTCTCATTGTGAAGATCTTAAGAAGGAGTAAGAAAGCTTTGTTAACTAACATCATATAATTCGTCAAGATTTTTGCAGATGCAAAATTCGTTTTTGCACTCTTCTAGATGGACATTAATTACTCCTTTAACTTACATTTCTTTATCAACACTATCTCCAACTGTCTTATTTCCGATCTTACTGATGCTGAGATCTTTGATAGTATTGATTTGTATCATCGCATCAATATCAGTATTAATCTTATCAAGACTTTGGTTCATTAATATCTCGATTCTTCTATCTCTTACAAAAGCTACAAAATATATAACTAATGGAGTTGTAGCGAAGATAATAATAAGGTGCCCTTTGACAAGCTCAAACATTGTTAGTAGACAGTTTAGAGATATCCAAGCATAGATATTTATCATAGAGCCAAAGAATATCGATACAAATCTATCATAATACGGAATTTAGATGAAGTATTAATAGGAAAGATAGATACTAGAGCTTAAATATATCAATATCATTATCCAAGAGCAATATGATTAATTACATAAAAGTGTAAAGGCGCTTACAAATACCCTGTAAAATAGCATCATTATTTCAAAAGTTGACTCTAACCTTGAAAGACTATCTTCTTTTACAGGTTAGGTTTCATTATACAAAAGCGCAATTATTATGTTTATTACAAGTAAAAATAGTAATCCGAATGAGGCAAATACGCAAAAGATAATATGGTTTGAGGAGAAGCAGCCAATATCTTGCATAATGTAATGCTAGCCTCCATCACAATGAAATACTGATATGAATAACTCGAAAAATGGCATGAAAAATACCCAATAAAACAAAATCAATAGCGATCTCAAAGCTTTTATAATCGTTTCAAGATAGTATTCCGGTCTTAATAATGCAAAGTGCAAATATGCCAAAAGCCCAATAATAACCACAATGTAAAATAAAGCTATTTGAAAGGAATAAATTATTGAAATAATGATGAAAGAATTTGAGTATTACCAAAGTAGTAGAAAATCAAAAAGTATAGTGAACTTCCTGATTTGTTTATAGCCCCTATTATTCTTGCATATTCGCATAGTTGTTGAAAAATATCTAGAAATATCTCATCTTTCCAAGTGAATAACTAGAAAAATTTTAAGACAAACTTGAATTCTAGATAATGCTGAATCATACATGATCTTCAAAAAGAAGAGCGATTACTTAGAGGAACATTATAAACATTAGGACACATGCTGAAATTTAACCTAAAAGCTTGATAAAATTGATAAATACCTGTTGTCTTTTCCTTAAGCAAGTCCAGCATAATGTCGAAAAAAGATTGCTAAACCTATGAGTATATTCTATTAAAGAGAGATTTCTTTTCCTCCATAAACTAATCAAATTAACTAATTAATTATATTCTAATAAATTTTTCAAATCTCAATTTTACTCACCCATCATTATGCATTAACTAAAAATAATTAGTAGACAAAATATGTGAATATTATTTAAGTTCATTAAATCTAATTAACCTATTTTGCATTTAAACCATTTCCAAGAGAGCGAAACTCTTAATCCAGTTTTCAGAAAAATCCTCCAATAATCTATAACAAAGATAAAACTACAAATTTTACCTTTCCGATAGCAGATCTATTGTTATCATAGAAGAAAGTTAAAATTTTGTCTTACTCTTCCTCATTGAATTTCATCACTTGAATGATAACTTTGATAAGATTTTATTAAACCTGATAAGTATTTATTAAACCAACAAAAAGAATTATTACACTTTGGTCAGCAGTTGTCAAATAACTCAGGATAATATTCTTTAATAAATGAGCATTAATACTATTTTGTAGTTCTTTATTCAGCTTTTCACTTTACTCTTTGTTTTCCCTAACTAAGCTATAATGTTCTCCCTTCAACTCATTAAGTTATGACTCTAACTTCTTAATTGTCTTTTTGGAATCGCTTTCTAATCTTTCCTCTATTGGTTTTATATTGACTAATAAAACTTACTGTCTTATTTCATAAGTTGATGATCTTCAATAAGTTTATCACAAGTAGCTCTCCATTCCTACTCCTGTCTTATAAGTTTTTCATCATAAATTAGCTATCTTTTAAGTAAAGTCACTCCAACCTTTTAATAAACTTCAATAAAATGATCTCTCAAAGATATTAATTCTGAAGATTGGTCCTCCTTAATCTCCATCAGTCTAGTTATAGATAATTCAAGATCATTCATCATCTCGCTTAGCTAGGACTAAGCAAAAATATTACTTTTCTTGTTGCTTTATCCACTATTCATCATCATTGGATGCTTTTTTTCATCAATAGCTGTGATCTAGCTCTTAATGTCTCCACTCTTGTGTAAAATTTTTGCTAATATCTTTTCTCTTTAAATTTGTTCATTCTCTTATCTGGCTCTTTGAGATTTTAATTCTTCTTAGATTTTAAGATAGCTTTAGTTACTTTGCTCCATATATTCATTAACTCTATTCAATCTCTCTTCATATTGCTAAATGCAGTTTGTCATTTATTACTCAAGCTTAAATTATTCTGCAAAAATTGTATTATAATTCACTTATCTTGTTCCTGAAAACAGGGATTGCAGCTCTTCCTAAATGTTAAGAACCTAATTATCCTTAAACCATTCTGTTTCAAAATCTTTTGTTTCAATCAAGCTATAACCAATATCATTTATTTTTATTCTGGCAACAATTTGCTTAACATTCTCAGTTTTTATGCCATTTCTCCTTTATTAGAATATCTCTAAAGTCTGAAGCAGATCTTTGTTTCTTTCTTAAGTTTCTTTGAGTTTTTAATCAGCATCTTTTGCTATCTCTATCTGAGATTTGTACTTTGCATTAATTGAATCAATTGCTACCTTAGCTTTCTTCAAAAGATTCTTAAGTTTAGTTTTATCACCTACTAAGTCTTTTATTTTTTAATCTTTTGTTTTAAGTTCAGCGCTTAAAGATCCTAAATCCATTGAGTAGTAATCAGCTCCACCTTCATTATTTACACCTTGGTTATCATTGCCAATTTAAGATATTGAATCAAGATTGTCATAAAGCTTAGAATTGAAACTTATCATTGACATACTAGCATCTTCACTCACATATGTATTTTGTTTATAAATCTATTATTAAGGAGGAGGAGTTTTATTAGTTTCATTTCTTCCAGGACTATTAGATGCTGAAATTTACTATTATTATTATACTTATTGCTACTATTATTGCTAATACTCAACTTGCTCTTGATATTACTACTATTGTTACTAATCTTAAAAAGTTGGTGATTTATTAACAATTTAAATATCACTATGCTCGTCTTTTTGCGATTGATCAATCTATGAATTGCTTTAATTTGCTCTATCCACATTTTCCCACTCTAGTAAATTCTAGCTCTACTCTTAACTCACTGGCTACACATATTCATTTATGGGTTGCTGTAAAGCTGTTTCATTTGTAACTTCATCTTCGAATGGATTATATGGAGATACCTACTCTTATTGTTAGTCATGATATTGCACTTAAACTTATTATACCTCTGTAGATTCAAGATCGAGCAGCTATTAGTTTTGTTGATTAACTTATGCCTCCTCATAGTTACTTTAATAGTTTTCAGGCCTATCTTGCTAAATATTTTCATCTAATTAAATTAAATCCTATTATTGGTCAGCATTCTCAACCTCTTAAGTTTCTTATTAGGCACCCTCATTCTCATTTTAAACTGTACTCTTCTTTGCTTTCTTTTTATCCTTTTTCTTTTGATTCTTCTTTTGCTAAGCTGTCTAAGTATTATCCATTTTAATTAATTTGAATTTAATTAAACTTTTTCTTATGTCAGCAATAATTCAGGTTTTAGGGGTTTTGGGGTTTTGGGGTTTTGGGGTTTTGGGGTTTTGGGG